AAAAATTCTCTGTACACATCTTTTAGGAACCAAAATATCTCAATATACTCCTTTTGAATGAAAACAATTAAACCCTAATTTTTCCATTGTGGTTATTTCACTTGTTACACACTCTGTACTCCTCTGTTACTTGCAAAGAGCAATACTGTCAAAACATCTTTCATATTGCTTTAATCTCTAAGTTTATACTCGATTATTTACATCGTTTAATTATTAGTTACACAATTTTTATTTGATTTTGATATGGAAGAGTTGCAAACCTATAGAAGTTCAAACTCAAGCAATGGTGACAGCAAAATCAATGATGAAAAGGTAAAATCGTTTAGTAATTTTTTGTTTTTTTTTTGTGTGTTTTTTACTCAGAGACCCAGTGCCGAATTTTATCAATAAATTCAGAAATCTAATGTCGAAATAACATTAATATTGCGATACAAAAGTTTCAAATTTTTTTTTATATATTTCAACACTTCAATTCTGAGTTTTTAACTTAATTCTGTACTTAAGTTCCAAATAAAATTAATTTTTTCGGATATATAGTGCCATATTTTTTTATTATTTTCTTTTTTTAGTGCTAAATTTTTTATTCATTTTCAGACCTGTAGTGCCAATTTTTTATTTATTTATTTCAGCTTTGTAAAATCGAATGAAATTTTTGCCCCCTCCTTTTTAGATGGCATGCACTGAAGAAACTGAGGTTTGGTCGGATATTATGGTGGATTGTACTTGTTATTTTACAGCTAAACAGGTAACTTTTAACATAAAATTCATAAGTTCATAATTTGTATTAGTTAGTTTGTTTAGTTTGTTCTTATGAAAGTTTTGTAACATTATATATAGGTTTTCGACAGCAAAGATGAATTGCTCACTTAGGTATGTAACATTAGAAGGATAAATGGCTTTGTTATTATTATAAGGACGTCGGAATATGGTAGTGGTTGTAAGAAACCAAGAATTTATCTTACTTGTGAGTGGAGTGAGAAGTATAGATCGCGCGAAAAGTTAAAAGATGGCTTAAAAGACTTACTGAGACAAACTAGTGCAAAGAAGTGCGAATGTCCATTTGATTTGAAGGCATTCAAGTTGAAAACAAACGATGAATGGACATTGAATGTAGTTTGCGGGCTGCATAATCATCCAGCTGCGGAGCATCTCCAAGGACATTCATATGCAAGGAGATTGTCAGCTAATGAAAAGTTACTGTTAGTAGATATGTCAAAGATCCTAGTAAGACCAAAAGAGATACTTATTACACTAAAATAGAGGGATGCCCTTAATATGAGCACAATGAAGACAATTTACAATGCACGACATCGATATAGGGTTCTACAAAAAGCTAGTAGATCCCACATGCAACAACTATTGGGCGAATTAGCAAAACATAAGTACATTGAGTGTCATCGATGTGAGGAAGACTCGATGACTGCCACGGACTTGTTTTGGGCACATCCAGTGAGTTTGGATTTGCTTTGTACATTCCCTTGTGTGTTGATTATGGATTGCACATATAAGACGAATAGATATCAGCTTCCTCTTCTTGAAATTGTGCGAGTGACATGAACCCATATGACATTCTCTGTGGCTATCGCATACTTGCAAACTGAGAGGGTTGATAATTATGCATGGGCGTTACAAACATTGCGTGATCTTATAGACGACAATGTTTTACCTGAAGTCATTGTCACAGACAGAGAGCTTGCTTTGATGAATGCCATTGACAAAACCTTTCCGAATGCTTGACATTTGTTATGTCGTTGGCATATTAATAAGAATGTATGGACAAAATACAAGAAAATATTTGAGACAAAAGAAAAATGGGACAAGTTTAACACTGTATAGAACTATTTGATATTATCATCAACTGAAGAGGAATACAATGATCACCTTGCAATACTACATAAGGATTTCAATAACTATTCGGAGGCAATGAAGTATGTTACTGTGAGTTGGCTGAATCTGTATCAAAAAAAATTCATTGCGGTACATACAGACATGTGTATGCATTTTGGCAATGTTATAACCAATAGGTAAGATTTTTTTTTTTTTTAAATTTATTGTAGATCATATTGTTATTTTTAATTATTATGCTTGACTATCTTGGTTTACATCCATATGAACAGGGTTAAGACTACTCAAGCTAGATTGAAGAGGCAATTAGGTTCAAGTCAAATGACATTTGAGATTTCATTTGAAAAAATACATTGTCTACTTGAGTTGCAGCACATTCAAGTTAAAGCATCATTCGAGAGGAGTTTGACAACTGTGCAACATCAATTCAAACATTCTCAATTTAGAGAGCTCCGGGATAATGTGTCTATTTGTGCATTGAAGTACGTGTTGGCAGAGAGTAAGAGAGCAAATTTAGTTGGAATTGATGTTGCAGCATGTGGGTGAGTTCTTAGGCGCACACATGGTTTACCTTGTGCTCACGAGATTCTAAATTACATGAGACAAGGCCGTCCTATTCCACTCAGTAGCATACATGTACAGTGGACGCGACCTACTATATGTGTGCATAATCCGAAGGTTGAGAAGTTGGAATTGACTTGTATCCCAAAACTTGAGATGATTTTGAAGCAGTTCAATGAGCCTGATATTGCCACGCAATTGGATATGTTGAAGAAGTTGAGGGAAATTGCAATTCCAGCAAGCACTTTTCTTATTGAGCACGATGTGAAACCTAATCCACGTTGAGGACATAAGAAAATTGATATATCTTGTTGTCGTGACCCGTGTGCATTTGAGTTGGTTAACGATGGCCATGATAGCTAGAGCACATTAACTTCTAGTCAGTCAAAGAAAAAGCGAGCTTCGAAAGTGCATGAGAAGAAGCGGAATGTGAAGACAAAAACATATCATACAAGAACAAGTTTACCGAGTGTATATACTGGTGACTTCTTGCCTATGTTAATACCATTCATAAAGTTGATGAAGGATGTAGATGGTGATGGGAATTGTGGTTTTAGAGCTATTGCGAGTTTACTTGGTCTTGGAGAGAATGACTAGGTGCAAGTTAGGCCTGATCTGCTACTTGAATTGAATAATCACAGAGATTGAATACGTCGTACAATACGGGTCTCATGATAGGGTTGAGGAGCTGACACACATCCTTTCATATTTTGAAGATAGCCCAGGCTTTGATCGTTGGATGATTATGCCTGACATGGGGCATCATATTGCATCAATTTATAATGTAGTCTTGTACCACTTGTCATTGTAACAGTGTCTCACTTTCTTACTTTAAGATCACCGCCAGTAACCCTGGCTGATCGTCGCAAGATTGCCATTGTATTTGTCAATGGAAATCATTTTGTGTAAGTATAAGTTATGAAAACAACCAAACATTGTTGTCTAATATTTGTGTAATTACAAATTTTATGTATTTGGTAAAGATATGTAATTTTTTGGATGTACATGTAGGTATTTTTGGAGGTCGGTCATCCAGTTCTTTCCATTGCTATGCTTTGGCAAGTTCACCATCACCCTTGTGCATTAGAATGGGAGAACACATATGTTAGCTGCATTAAAAGATTCAAAGACAACATAGGATCTAATGTAGCTACTCGAGAGACATTTCATGTAGTTGACATAGATTGATGTGTTAGAGAGTAGTACTGATAGTTTTAAGACATTAGTTTTTATGATTTACTAGCATGGAGTAATGAGATGGATATCATTTTGCCATTAAATTTTGTAATGGTCAATTTTTCTTTTTTTTAAATAGAATATTATATGCGTTATAGTTCTATAATTTATGGAATGGATGTCATATTATTTTTACATTGTTTGAACACAAAACGTAATGAAAATAATATTAACCAAGTGCAACTACTATTAAAAAGTAATAAGATTAAACAAGTATGTAAAAAAAAAATAATAATATTAAATAGTAGTTCAATCCATTCACACCATCACAAACTACATGTGTGCTTGTACATAATCCAAAAAGTACATAATCCGAAGATAATAATAATATTTGTCTCCTTATACATCCGTCAACACCATCAGAAACTACCTGTGCTAACATTATGAACTATCAACTATGTGATCGGCTAGTGTAATGTGCTCCAAAACGATGTGTGGTGGAAGAGCTCGGTGTAGATCGACCCTGAGTGGATGTGCTGGGTGCAGCTTCACTAATGTGCTGATCTTAAAGAAGCTGTTCGATTGCATCAATTGTGTAGTAAAGCCTATCAAGATGTTTAACACTGTCCTTATAGCCAGCCTCAACGAAAGGATGACTAATCTGATATATCTGCGACATACGCTGCATTACAAGAATAAATATAACATTATATACAAACTTGTAACAGTTTACATAAAATAATTTGCAATGCAAATGAAAAAAAAAAAAAAGGATACCTGTGCGTCTTGGCTAGGATACTGATAATGATGGATATTCAGGTCCACTTGAGAACGACGAGCTGGGTTTTTTACATACATATGGGTAATGGTTTGGTACCAATCCATGTAACCAGGAACACAATCCCAAGGTTGTCGTACTGGTGTACTCCTCCTCCGATCAGATAACACATGGTTGCCCCATGCCTTCCAAATGATGTCCAAGTATGCATACATAACATTGTAGCATGAAGTTGTGGCTCCTCGAGAAGCATGCATAGGGCCAAGAGGTGGATTAGGGATTGTCTGCACTCTACCAAATTCTCTCAATACTCTATCAGGGTGATATGGTTCAACTACATCCAAACACTTTAGATAATCATGGTAGAACGTAACTGGGTGACACTGATGGGCATCTCTGCAACTTTGGTCCAGTTCCCAAATAACCTACAAACAATAACAACTGTAAGATATGGCAATTGTAAATTTTGTATGATATAGAGTTCCAAATTTTGAAGGACTTTTTAACTTATATCATGTACACTCAACCTATCAAGCTCCTCTCGAAAAGCCTGCAACTGTGTCTCTTCACCAGACTCTCTCCGAGAAGTCCAACAGTAAACATGTGGCATGTCTCGAGTGTAATTCATATTCAAGTGTGGTCAGAATCCACGAAAATGCTCATAAATCCATCCGTCAAGGAGTGTCATGTAACCGACTATTTGTTTCATGTCGGACCTGCTAGCGTACCCCATCTGTCTATATAAGTATGCCAATGTAGCAGCACCCCAAGCATATGAAGATATAGTTGTCAAATCGGACAACAAACTCAAATAAACAATGGGGACCCTAGTACAAGTCTTGTTACTGAAAAGTGTACAACCTAACAAAAATAGCAAGTATGCTCTACCTGCACATACTATTCTTTCCATTAAATCATTGTTTGTGACATTATGAAAGTGTGCCTTCAACCACTCAAGCCTCACTGAATTGCCTCCAGCACTAGACATCTCATGTCTGACCTCTTGCTCATCAATTTCCAAGGTATTAACTACTAATGCAATGACCCTCATTTCTAGCAACTTACGCACACTAATAGATTTGCCTACAATGGGAAGCCCTAGGATAGTGGCGACATTGTCCAATGTGATAGTTATCTCTCCAACAGTCAAATGGAAGGTGTTTGTCTCCAGTTGCCATCTCTCAACAAAACTAGATACTATAATTTTGTTGAGAAAACAGTACGTGCAACAAGCTAATTGTGCAAGTCCTGACATCTCTACAATGTTTACAAATGTAGCGTTGTTTCCTTGTTCCCACCACAGCCACGAACGAATCTTAGACGAGTGATTATGACACTTTGAGGGTCCCTTTTCATCAGCACCATTCCAAATAGTTGTGGCAACATGACTTTTAAAACTTTTAAGGATTAATGGATCAGTTGGCCCTCTCAGAAATGGCTGAGTAAGGATATCTTCATTAACCATGTCAGCATCATCACCAGTAGGGATCCATAACAATATCATCCATAACTGGTGCATCATGTATAGGATCATCATCCATGGCAATGTGCTTGTCATCATCACGTCCACGTCCACGTGCACGTCTCTCTAATTCACAGAGTCTTCTATTCGAAGCTGTAACTGACCAACGTAGAGTGGGACCGACATCCATCTGCATAAGGAAAATTGTTCTCATCAACCCAGTATAATGAAACAGAATAAACACTCCCAGAAAAGAATCACATCAATATGGGTAATATGTAACCTAATCATGCCACCTTAATGAAATCTAATATGCAGTTATAAACCATTAAATTGACAATTTGGATGATGTGAAATTAAAAATATAAGTTAAGGACATAACCCTACTACTGATGAAAGAGTGAGACTATGATTTGTTGAAAAATTACAATGTAAACATGGATATAGCAAAACTACTTGTATTCTATGCAGACCATTCACCAATTATTTGGTAATGTTTACAACATGCCAAAAATAGATTAACTTCACTTCGGCTAATTTACCAAAGCAACAGGGTCATTAATCAATACCAGCATCATTTTTCAAACAATCAAAGGACTGTCCATCACTTGTCTTTGTACATTCTATTGATTGTAAGTTTGTTGTAGCTGTAAGTATACAACCAAAGACCAAATTTGGCCCCAATTTCAATGTTTTGAAAGGACAAACCCCTAATGTTCTATATAATGCAATTGTTTTGTTCAGCTATTTAGCTAACAACATTTTTGAAGACCTATGTTTAACAACTACTTAAGCTAACAATATAATGTGAAAATACTAATACTGCACAGATTTTTGTTTCTATTGTTATGCATTGAATTTTGCCAAAAAAAACAAAACAAAACAAAACAAAAAAAGAACTAAATACATAAACATACCTATAAAATAAAATTGTTAGAAAAGAACCTAAAGTAAAACCAATCTTGGTGGCCTACGTAACTTGGCGTAAATTTATATAAACCAAAAAAAAAAAACACCATTTGACACTTCAGTTCCGAATAAACCAAAATATTTCATAAATCAATTTCCGAAATTAAAGAATTAATTCAAAACTAGTGAACCAAAAAAAAAATTCACATTCAGCTTAAAATCTTCGAAATTTTGTATTTTATTCGGCTTTAATTGGTCGAAATTGTACACATTATTCGGTGATTAGGTTCCAAATTACAGAAACAATTTCAGACACCCAGTGCCAAGAGCTCCAACCCGTCCCTAATAATGGAAAAATCAATGTTTTATATGCCAATGGAGTGCAGAGATATCTGAAAATGGTAAATGTAATAAGAAAATGATAAATGTAATAAGAAAATGGAAAGATTTCTTACCTTAAACAAAGGATTCAATAGTTTTTAGTGGAGATTCAATGGAGCTATTCAAGTTCTTCAATGGTGGTGAGTAAAGTTCAAAACTTCTTTTTTTTTTTCTCTCTGTTTGAACGAAGTTAAGGTCTTCACAAAAGTGGGTGGAACTAGAAATGTCAATGAAGGTCAATTAAAGTGTGTGCATTTGAGGGTAAAGTGTGTGTTCCATTTATGAGTGAAGGATGTAATTGTAATTTTAAGGGCGTGGATTGAGAAAATTAGTTCCTAATCAAATTAATAGGTGTGTATGTGTGTGTTAAGAAAAGATTTGTCTTGAGTTTATTAGGTGAGTGGAAATAGAATTTCCTGCCCAAACGATATTAACTTGCCAGTGAAAATTACCATAGTACCCTTCAACAACATTGTGAAAAGACCAAAATATCCTTAATTTAGTAAAGAATTGTATTTAATTTAGTAATAAATTTGATGGTGATCAAATTTGTTTTCTCTTAACGTGTGGTAATTCTACTATATATATGCTTATCATTATAAGGGTTTTGGTTCTATGTAATGAAATGAGCAATGTTTCCCTTTTTATAATTGTTCTATATACAAAATTTTTACAATAGTTATTCTACAAAATTTTTATAATTTTTACAATTGTTCTATGATAAATGGTTCTATATAAAAAATTTTACTGGAATTGTTTTGATCATTTTTACTGAAAACTGGTGATGATTGTTTATATGAATTTAGGGATCATTTGACAGTCAACTAAATAAATATTTTTTTTTTCATTTTTTTTTGTTTTTAGTATTTTTTTTTAATTTGTGTCAAATTTTTTTTTTAAATTTTCGATCCATTTAGTGAGACGAATCTAAAAAAATAATAAAATTAAAAAGTTCATTAAGGACAAAAAAAATATATATATTTTTTTACCTTTTTTTTGTCTTTAATGGAATTTTAATTTTAATTTTTTTTTTTTACTTTTCAGATTTATCTAATCAAGTAAGTTCTAAAAGTCTAAAAGAATTTAATTTTTTCAATTTTTTTTTTTTGCTAAAGACGTAAAAAAATAAACACAAACAATTACGTAAAAAATCAATCCCAAACAACCCTTTAGTAATCATGGTGAGTTTTTACTAGAATTTGTTGAATTATTCATTCATTTAGTGTTTTACTTGATGTTATGTAATATTACAACAAATATGCATGAAATTACATGTTATTTTTATTATTGTTACAACCATGGCTTCATTTCCTTGCTTTGATTTAGTCATCAACTACAAAGGCAAAGTGGACAGAGAGAGTTTGGAGGGAAAGAAATAAAGTTTATTGGAAATTTGGAAGAAAATGGTTATAGGAGTGGAGTTATTTTATAAAGGAGGTGAAGGGTATTTTGGGCCATTTAGGTGTTTATTTTTTATGATGCCATTATATTTGATTACTTTTGCAACGTCTTTCTAATAGAAGGACGAAATATGGTATTATTTTGTAAAATAAGTGAGGTCGGTATAATTATTGAAACTATAAGAAAAGTATCTACAATTATGGTAAACTTAGAGGAGGTAAGTGTAATTTACCTTTTAATTAATGGTCAATCAAAACTAATGAAATTATGCCTTCTCCATGTAGAAGAAAAACTAATTAAAAAAGAAATGTAAAAGAATGTACAGGTTAAGATTATTTTCGTCTTTTCACAATGTGATTAAAAGGTACTATGGTAGTTTCAATATGTAACTTAACATCGTTTGGTACATTTTAACGAAAAGGGGGAATTTTGATATTCTTTTGAAAAGTCAGGAAGGTCAGAGTAATTGTTGAAATTACAAGGAATGTATTTGTAATTATGATAAACCTCAGGGGAAGTAAGTGTAATTTATTCAAAATAATTTGAATGAACAAAATAAATAAATAAAAAATTATTATTATTATTATTATTATTATTAACATAACAGCAAATCGTACAAAAAAACAGCTTTGAAATCAATTTTGAAAGATAAATTTTTTGAAAGAGTTTTGAAAATTAAAATTTTATTTAATTATAAATTTTGAAAAAAAAATTGAATTAAGTTTTAAAAATCCATAAATAAACAAATTTTGAGTTTTTAACTATCAAATTACAATTCAAAAACTAATCAGTTTGTTTGGTTTGAGTTTTCTGAATTAAGTGTTTTGAAAATTGAATTTTTTGTTTTTCATATTTTTTTGTTGTTTTTAGTGAATATTTTAAAAATTTTAAGCATTTTTTTTCTTTTTTAGATGCGTCTTACTTATGTGTCTAAAAAGCAAAATATTTGCGAAAAAATATTTAAAATATTAATAAATATACAAAAATACGAAAAATATATTAATTTTTGTATTTTTTTTATATTTTTGGTATTTAGTGAATTTTTTGAAGATTTTTTTATAAAAATTATACTTTTTAAGTGTATTTATGTTAGGTATGTGTAAAAATTTTAAAAAAATATTTAAAATATTAAAAAAATCGTAAAAACAAAAATAAAACGGATTATAGATATAATAGCTATTTTAAAAATTATAAATATTTTATTATTAGAATTTATAATTTAATTGAGTTAAGAAATTTTTTTTTAAAAAAATATTTTCATATGAAAAAAATTATGAAAATTTTTAATTAAAATATATTATAGATATAGTCGTAAAAAATATTAATTGATTTAATGATTGATTAATAAAAGAAATTATTTGTTATGCGATTAGAATTTTGAAGAGGCGTCGTATAATTTTTGGAACTATAGACAATAATAAAACGGATTATTTGTTATACGATTACAAACTTTAAGATGAGAGATATAATTTTTAGATTTATATTGAACAATCAATATTTTAAACAAATCTCAAAAAATATATTTGTAATTTACCTTATTTATAATTACCAACTCTCTTTTTACCTTTTCACAGTGAGAACAAAGCTAAAACAACTTCAATTAATCAACTAGATATTAACTCAAAACTCTCACAGCCTCTGCCAAACAGTTACATAGCAGCGTCAAGGATATGAGAATAACATTTCTGCTACAGAGCTGGAATGATAGAGCCATGCTAGAGTTACCAAAAAATTCTACCAAAAAATTGACCAAAAAATTCTATTAAAAAGTTGACCAAACACTCATGTGCGTGTTTGATTAATTGTTTGATAAAATTTTTAGAATTTATAAGATTTTTTGTATCTCTCAAAAATCATAACATATAAATCTAAAAATTATATTTGATAATTTTTTATTCAAAATTAATTTGATCCAATTAATTTTAAGATGAAAATTACTAATTAATTTTGAAGAGACGTGAAGAGACATATTATGAACAATTAATTATCCAATTATTAATTTTAAGATGAGAGATACAATTTTTAGATTTATATGGAACAATTAATAATTGGATCAAATTCTAAAAATCAAAAATTAATTGAAGTAGAATATTCTCAACATGCCGGTTATTATCCAAAATTAATTGTTTGATCAAAAATCATAACCGGTATTATTAATTGGATCAAATTTATACAAAATCAAAAATTAAGGATCAAAATCAAGTCAAATAAAAGTGTAGAGACCAAAATAATATAAAAGGTAAAATGTAAGGACTACTAACGTAATTTCTCCAATTATTCAGATAAATATTATTAAAAAAAACATGCATTTGCCTGTAGAAGGAAATGTTAAAGACCCATGCAAAAGACACTCGACTAGAGAGACTCTTTAAGTAGTACTACAAAAAAAAACCATCATAATAAAAACAATAATGCTATGGGTCAGGAAATGTTTATCAGGAAATGGATCATGAATGAGTTGGCATTGACCAACTCATCTTGGTGGAGCCCCCATATGTTATTAAAAAAAAAAAGAAGAAGAGAATTTGGAAAGACTAGAGAGAGAAAATTGAATGCCTTCTCACCATTGTGATTCTTCTTAGAACGAACTGGGGAGAGAAAGAAAGATAAGCGTCATCGGAATACCTTCTTCTCATAACTCATCTTTGTCATCGTTTGACTGGTACTCCTCTCTTTCACTTGTGAATTTAGCTGTTTTCTTTTATTAAAATGTTTTGTTGATGTTGCAGAAAAGCTCAAAAAAATTTCAAAATATTTGAAAGAATGACAATGAAGCTATACATATTTACAGAGCAACTGTTAACCCAACTATCCTTTCTTTTTTTTTAATATTGTTTGCATATCTACAGAACATTTGAAATACAAAATTAATTGGGAACTTGTCAATCATGTTGAATGGTAGAAGCTTCCCTTAATAAAATGAAATTTATTCAGTATTTAGTTGAATTTATACAAGTTATGAATTCAATGTGTATGATTCAAAAAATCATCATAATCTTGTTAGTTAGTTAATCCATGTTTTGAATAAATCTTGGGAACAAAACATTAGAACTATAATTAACCAAAGAAGTTTAGAAGATAACCATGGAAGTAACTTGGGCAGCCACTACATCAAACAAGGATGCTTCCCTGGCATTCTTGGCGTATGTCACACATCCACTGGATCGAAGACCAGAAAACTCTGCTACTTCCAGTCTCTGTGCACCAAAATGAAATTAGAATGCAGAAAAAGCAAAAAACTGTACTATAAATTATTATTGTTTATTAAGAGAGATAACATCAGTTATGAATTTATACAAGTTATGAATTCAATGTGTGCAAAATTGTTATGAGAAAACACTAGTTGAATTTGTTGCTAAAATTTCTTTTTGAATCTTTTACTGCTGAATTTTCTGCTTGAATTTTTACAAATTTTCAACAGAAAGTTAATAAAATAATTTAATTTTCTACTTAATTAGGATTTTTTGTGGCCTTTGTTATGAATATTTTTTTTTTCTAATTTGTTATTTACATTGTAGAGGTATGGATAAAGAAATATCAAGTGGATCAAATGAGGACTGTGACGAAATTGATATTGAGACTGAAATAGAAGACACAAAAAATGTAGAAGTTGAAATTGAGGATCCTAAAGTGGGAATGACATTTAAGTCAATTGATGAAATTTATGAATATTATTCAAGATATGGGAAGAGAAATGGTTTTGCAGTGTCGAAGAAATATTGTAAAAGGGGAGATGATGGGGAGAAAAGATATGTAACTATTGCTTGTACTCGTGCTGGAAAAGCAAAAATCAGAACAAGCAATATAGTTAAACTACGCCCACAAACTAAAACGGGATGCAAAGCTGGACTTAATGCAAATTTACAAGGTGATGGAATGTGGATAGTGCGATCCTTAAGACTTGAGCATAACCATGAAATGAGTCCAAGCAAATCTCGTTTTTTCAAGCAAAATAGGATTCTTGAACCACATGTGCAAAGGAGACTTGAATTAAATGACAGTGCAGGAATTAGGATGAACAAAAATTTTACTTCACTTGTGCTTGAAGCTGGAGGGCATGAGAAGTTGTCATATTTAGAGAAAGATTGTAGGAATCATATGGACAAAGTTCGTCGTTTGAAACTCGAGAAAGGAGATGCCACTGCAATGTATGATTATTTTGTGAAAATGCAAGCTGATAATTCAGAATTTTTTTATGTCCTGGATTTGGATGAAGAGGGCAGATTACTAAATGTATTTTGGGCTGATGCAAGGAGTAGGGCTGCATTTAAAGAGTTTGGCGATGTGGTTACATTTGACACGACATACTTGGTAAATAAGTATGATATGCCCTTTGCCCCATTTATTGGGGTCAACCATCATGGACAGTCGACATTGTTAGGTTGTGGACTCATTTCACATGAAAATACAGAAACATTTACATGGTTGTTTAAGTCTTGGCTTGCATGCATGTCTGGATGTCCTCCAAATGCTATTATTACAGATCAAGATAAAGCCATGAAAAATGCTATACAAATTGTTTTCCCTAATGTGCGTCATCGATGGTGTTTGTGGCATATCTTGAAAAAATTACCTGAAAAATTGAGAGGATACAAAGAATATGAGGCAATAAAATTTGGTATACAGAATGCAGTTTATGATTCCTTAACAAAAAAGGAGTTTGAAGAAAATTGGAACAAATTGATAGAGAATTATCAACTTGAAGGCAATGAATGGTTATTTGGATTGTTTGAGGATAGACATCAATGGGTACCTGCATTTGTCAAAGATATTTTTTGGGCGGGAATGTCAACCACACAACGAAGTGAAAGCATGCACGCATTCTTTGATGGGTACATCAACTCAAAAACCACTTTGAAACAATTTGTGGAGCAATATGAGAATGCTTTGGCGAAGAAGGTGGAAAATGAAAATGGTGAAGAATTTAATTCTCTCAACTCATACATCCCATGCATAACTCAGTATCCATTTGAGAAGCAATTTCAAAAAGCTTACACTATTGCAAAATTTAAGGAGTTCCAACAGGAGGTTGTAGGACAGCTTCATTGCAATTTATCTTTGTATACACAAGGTCCTGATTTTTCTGTATATGAAGTGAGTGAAGATGTTCCATTTGGAGAGAACCTTCGATTAGCAACTTTCATTGTCTATTTTGATAAGGAAAACTTTGACACAAATTGTAGTTGTCGACTGTTCGAGTTTAGGGGAATAGTGTGCAGGCATCAAATTGTGGTATTAATGAAAGAAAGGGTTCATGAGATACCAGACAAGTACATTTTAAGAAGATGGAACAAAAATGTGAAAAGGTGCCATAGTAAAGTGATCATCAATTATAACAACTCTTCAATGTTGCCTGAAACACGTCGGTATAATAAAATGTTCAATGTCTTCAATGATGTGGCTGATTTGGCAACTGATTGTGAAAATAGGTGTGATATGGTGGTCGAACAGTTACTTGAACTAAAAGGGAAATTAAAAGAAGAAGTTGAAATTGATTATGGAAATAATAAGTCTAGTTTTGTGAGTAATCATCATAATTCAACCACTCATGGAGATGGTGTTTCGAAGTCAAAGGAGAGTAGAATCATACTTGATCCAGTCGCTATACGTCAAAAGGGGAGGCCACCATGTAAAAGGAAACAATCCATGTAATAACCCGACCCTCGTCTATGATTCTGGTATACTTTCAGTCCCTTTATTCTGTATATTTATATGCTTATTGTGAAATTCCATGTGGCATTACGGTTAAGTAAGTAAATCTCATGTTTAAAGATGTCTATCTGTTGAACAAGAAAAGTATCTGTTACATGTAGAATGTTTGAAGCAGAAATTGGAAGCCTTAACGGCTTAATTATCTGAAATTGATTATATATCTGTGATCAGCATAATTTTTAAGTAATATTAAGCATGTTTACGAAATTTCAATTTTGGAATGATTAAACGATTAAGTTTTGTCTTATATGTCATTAGTTGTAAATATATACACCAAAGCTCTTGAGCCTTGATAAACAAAAAAACAAAAACGTAAGGCATCTTTTGGAGAGAATAAGGGTTGAAAAGAAGAAGAAAGGAGAACAAAGACAAGGTTCAACAAGGAAGGAAATTGAGATTAAATTAGGAGATCAAACTTAAGGTATGTTAAATTCAGTATATATGAGAATTATCCTTTCAATTGTGAAGAAGAGTTGTTTATGATTTATGTTTGGTGATCTAGGGTTGTAATGGACAATTGTTCATGATTTATGTTTGATTGAAGAGGGTGTTCTCATCATTTGGTTGTTTTGCAACCTAATTTGAGTGTGTTATGTGAGGAATTTGAATCCAAGGATGGAATTTTGAAAGGTTGTGATTTGATTAAGCTTCTAAGCATGTTATCTTGTGATACTCAAGTTTGAAGTCATGTATTGGTAATGTTAGATTAAGGATTTAGTTTATGTTTGAATTAATACATGTTTATAGTCTTTATTTACATGTTTTTGAACCACACTTTATCAATTAAAGGGCCTATTTGGAGCCTTATACAAGCTTACAAAAATGGGGTTTTGTTTGGGAAAATTTCGGACTACACTGCTGGAATCGCCGCACGTGCGGGGATCACTGCCGCACGTGCGGAAGGCCTGCCGCACGTGCGGGGCTCACAGCCGCACGTGCGGCCCATGCTGCCAAAAATCTGTTTGCTCGGTTTTACGTGCTAAACCCTCTGGTATTTTTAGAATCTGTGTTTGATGTCCCTAAAATGCCCGTAAATTCATTCGAAGAAAACTAAAGCAGGAAAGGAATTAAGAAAGCAAAAGAACTAATGACTAAGTTATGTGTATGTACAGGGCACACTCCAGGAGGGGCAAACACTCTGTTGTAGCACTGTGAGTAGTAGTACAAAAATGTACATTTTATATACTATTGACAATTATTGTCACTAATGCTCTGTTCTTTGTAAGTATTATTCAAACATTTATGACAATTGGAAAGCATGAACGCCGAAAGATTTGTGTACGTCGATATGATTTTGGAATCCTTATATTCCGTTAATGACGAATATTAGCCTTTTGTTATTTATCAGTATAGTATGTTATTCTTAAAGAATAAGTGGAACTTATGTTCATCCTTGAAGAATGATGTTGTGTGAATTTAAGACTATGTTACGAAGGGACTCAAGAACGTTTAGAATCTATGATAGGAATGTAAAGGCTTACCATTAGTATGCAACCCACATAAGAACATGAATCATTTTATTTTGTTAAATGCATGATAATGACATGATATAGCAAGAAAAGCTCTGTTTTCTATTATCTTAATGATTATTCATATACGTAGAAGTATTCACATCATCTTTAGCACAAGGCCCTTACCCAGGGGTAATAATACCGTGGTTCAAATAATTAAGTTACAAGTTTACGTATGCTCTAAGTCAAGAATATTACAAGTTTATATATGTGTGACGAGTTCCAATATGTACAAGTTTAAGTAAGGTTACAAGTACAAGTACATACAAGTTTAAATATGTTACAAGTTTTCAAGTTTAAGTATGTAATAAGTCCATGTATGTTATAAATTCAAGTATATTACAAGTATACGCATGTTATAAGCTCAAGTATGTCACAAGTTTAAGTACGATACAAGCGTAAGTATGTTACAAGCTACGTTACATGCTTATATATGTACAGGTTCAAGTGTACTATAAGTTCACAATGTTGAGGAATTTCCTTATGGAACTAACAAGAATGTTTTATTGATTTGCCAGCGCTATTAAAAGGCTAAGTATAAGTAAGTATGAATTCTGATTTCTGTTAATGATTCAAGCATAATGCATATGTATGAATTTATTTCCATTTATAGTATGACATTTATGTATGGTTTGGTCTGTAAGACCTGCTAATTATTGGTATGGAACAAAGTGCTACTTGGAACTAAGTGCTACATTGTGAGCCACCGCTAGAGTCCATGTGAGACACCTCTTGAGTCCATACATATGTGAAAATTATGAGGCTGAAAGCCATTCTGTGAAAGTTATGAGGCTCATGGCCATCTGTATAAGTTGTTATGAAATGAAACAAAGTGCTACACGGAACTAAGTGCTACGATGTGAGTCACCTCTAGAATCCGTGTGAGACACCTCTTGGGTTCATATATGCATGTCCAAGGGCTTTAATGCCAATATGTTTTAAGGGCTTAATGCCATTCTGATAAGGGCTGTAATGCCAATCTGATAAGGGCTTATGCCATTCTAATATGAAACAAAGTGCTACACGGAACTAAGTGCTACGATGTGAGTTACCTCTAGAGTCCGTGTGAGCCACCTCTTGAGTTCATATATGCATGTCCAAGGGCTTTAATGCCAATATGTTTTAAGGGCTTAATGCCACTCTGATAAGGGCTGTAATGCCAATCTGATAAGGGCTTATGCCATTCTAATATGAAACAAAGTGCTACACGGAACTAAGTGCTACAAGGTGAGTCACCTCTAGAATCCGTGTGAGACACCTCTTGAATTCATATATCTATATGTTCAAGGGCTGTAATGCCATTCTGACAAGGGCTTCATGCCATATGTTCAAGGGCTATATGCCGTTATGTTTAAAAGCTTAAAGTTAATGTGTCCAAGGGCTTAAAACCATTATGACTCACGATTGGGGCCTAAGGCCATTTAAAATGGAACCAGAAACAGATTAACTACATGATCTTTGCATTTATTTATGCTTTGTTATGTATTATGTTTAAATTGCGCATTTATGTATCATACTATTCACTGAGCTTGGCTCACCCTATGTTATGTCTGTTTCTGTAGGTAACCAATCAAGTGGTCAGTCCTAAATCATAACGCTTGTCCTCTTTGGTCAACCTTTCCATGTCCAAGCCTAAGAGGAGCTGCTCTTATTTTCATGAAGTTTTGACGAACTTTGGTTTTGCACTCTAGTTGTTGGCCTAAGGTTGAAATGTGTATAATACTTTCTTCCGAACGTTTTTGGTGTATGCCCAATTATAGAGCTGGACTTATATATATGTGTGTATATATCCGATATTCAGGTGTATGTTTTAGATTTTATTTGTCGGTTAAAGTTTGTGATCCTGGCATGATAGTAGTAGCTCAATGGAGTTTGTTTCTATTGTCAAATTTTGATATTTAATGATTCCGTTCAGGCCCCATATATTATATAGATAACAGGTTAAGTGTCCGTTCTGAAGTGGTCATGCCCAAACTTTTAGGGGCGGGTTTGGGACGTGACAATCCATGATTGAAAAAGTTGTTAACAAGAAGAAGAAAGGAGCAAATACCAAGAAAAAGACCATCAACATCCGAGGAAGTGTAGAGGTGTGAAAATTATTTGAATAAGTTAATTTACTATTAAAAAAAAAAACTATTATTTTGTTAACTTTCAAATTTTATATTTTGCAGCAATCCGAGTTTGGTGCATCTTCAAATATAGGACTTGTTGATCTTGGTACACAAGAGAGTATTTAAGTGAATGTAAGAAATTTATTTTATTCATTAACTTTATAGTTATATGATTTATTTATAGTTGGATTGTCTAATTACTTCTTATATGGTAGGAATCTGAAATATTGGGTCCAAGTTTAGAGCAACAAAACATATTTCAAGAAAACTTGTCATACCAAGTACGTAATATTTTAGTATGTATTTATTTACATGGTTTTATGAAAATTTAATATATATATATATATTTTTGATAGGGGTATCATCATCCATCTCCATCTTTGATATTCGAACATTCAAGTTTCACAAAAATGTTGAATGACATAGTACAATCACAGGCTAACAATCCAGAAGAGGACACAAATGGTAGAAGTTGAAAATGTCTACATGACAGGGTTGCTTAGACATTTGTTTCCCTTTTTTTTAAAGTTTGTTGAGAATGTTTATATTACATTTTGAGAGACTTGTTTGTTAAAACACAATGATTTTTGTATTGGATTATATAGTTGAACTATTACATTGAAGCATTATCAATTATTAGAGTTTATTGTGGAACATTGAAGTTTTTTTTATCATGAAATGTGATTTTTTTTTTTTTTTTTCACATTATGAGTAAATTACCATTAAGAATTTTTTTCTTCATTATGAATAAATTTTATTTGTTCTTTAATTTGTGATCTCAACCAAGCTCATTAACAGGTTATGTTTGTCATTAAAAATTAAGAAAAAGTCAATGAGGAGTTGCTAGTAACAATATCAATAAGAGCATGACAAAAATAAATGTTGCGTTTGGTAGAGTTTTGCAAATGTGATTTGAGGGTATGAGTTGTATTTTGAATTTGTGAGTTGTGGAATTATGATTTGCGTATAGAAAATTTGTTTGGTTATGATTTTTGAAGAGAGTGTTGAATTGAATTTTGAATTGAGTGTGGAATTGACAAAAATATTTTTATAAAATAGAGTTTGAATTTATTTTTATAAAATATTTTAAAATTTAAAAAAGTAAAATCGTAATATTTTGAAATTGAAATATTTAAAAATATTTAAAAAATTAAAAAATTTAAAAAATCGTAACATATTTAAATATTAAAATATTTAAAATCTTAACAAAATTAAAATATTTTTTAATGAGTGTGGATAATTTTAAATTGAGTGAAAAGGGTCAGCGCCCATCAAGAGATATATAGAAGGCATTCAACTTTCTCTCTCTAGTCTTTCCAACTTCTCTTATTTATTTATTTATTTATTTTTAATAACATATGGGGGCTCCACCAAGATGAGTTGGTCAATGCCAACTCATTCATGATTCATTTCCTAATAAACATTTCTTGACCCGTAGCCTTATTGTAATAAAAAATAACAATAAAAATAAATAGTCTTCAAAGGCCTTTCTTAACCAGTGCCACCAAAAACAGCCTTGAGCTTCTTGACCTGAGCATGATCAAGGAAAGTTACCTTCTCCACCACTGCAGAAGGCAAATTGTTGCCAAACAACGCAGAATCAGTGAAGTCGACACCCGGGTTTGGGCTATTGAGACTAACAATCGCAAGAGCCGGTATATTTCCAATATTGAATTGAAAATGCAATAGCCCTTGTGGGAAAATCATAACATCCCCTTTGTAAAGAGTTTTAAAATAAGCAGCGTTGGTCGAAGAAGATATGAATCCGGCACAAATTGTTCCTTCCACCACAAAAATGATTTCTGAACCTCCACGGTGCGTGTGGATTGGCACAACTCCACCCACGGCTAGATCTAAACGTGCCATGGAAAGGCCAAGCCCATTCAAACCAGGAAATTGATCTACAAATGCTAGTGTAACCGCAGCTTTGAGAAGATCGCTAGTGTTACCAGCAATGCCTAAACCTGAATAAACAAAATCATTAACCGTCACGTTAGCAGGTTTCTTGCAAGAGTAGCCTGCAGGTCCATCGGGCAATGAGAAGTCTGCCACACAGAAGTCTAGCACTGATCCATGAGAGTAGGAGAAGAGAAGCGAAACGACGAAGAGGATTGGAAGATACATCTTCATCTCCAAGAGTAGGGGATATTTTTTCTAAGAGTTGGTTGTGTTCAATATGGGGACATACCGTACCCATTTATATAGAATTTGAAAGCATGTATATTTTTTTTTTTGGTGGATAAAAAGCATGGATATTTTTGTTTGGAGCATTCCTATTGGTTGTTAGAGATATGCGATTTTAAATGATTACGCTAAAACACGACAGATTATGGACTGTGATGCGTGTGAGCGTATTATCTTATCCATTCCTATTGATGGATAAGAATACTCTTTTTTGTTTGAAAATGCAGAAACGTAGAGAGGAAGCATATCCTGCCTTGTCAAAAAGATATTCATATAATCAACAATATGTGGTTGATAATTAAGGGTTATTTGGAGTGTCTTAAATAAGTGTATTTTTTATTTTTTTGGATTAAAAAATTGAGGAAGAAAATATAGATGTTTGAGTTAATTTTTTGACTTTTTATAAAAAAATGTGTAATAAAAAATTATAAAAATTGATTTATGAAGAAAAATTAGGATTGAGAATTGTGCAGCCGTAATTATTGACTTTTACTGAATAGTGTTAACTTTTTAATTTTTTAAGTAACTTTTTAACTTTTTTATAATACGCCAAACTTCGCCTTAATATATTACTTTGTCGATCAATTTTATCGTATGTCAAACAAAAAGTTTAGCGCGTTGGCTACTTATTATGATGTTGTCATTGCTCAATAACGTCTACTATCCGGCATATTAATTTCATCTTATTCTATACTGAACCATTGCTATTGTTTTCGATTGACAGTTGTATAAGTATTTACCATGTTCAAACAGTGTCATAGTTTTCATTTTTTTCATTCCCAATTACTTTTCATGTGTGGTCGTAACTGTTCTACAAATTATGTAATTTTAATAAGATAAATAGATTCATGATTTATTAAATTAAATAATAGAACATCAAATAAATCTATATTTGATAAATTACATTTTAGAGCATGACACATGAAACATGATTAATAAAAATACATATTTAATCTGCATATTGAAAACATTGAATCAAACCAAATTCTATAAATAAAATTAAAATTTTATTTAATTATAAATTTTGAAAAAAAAATTTGCATTAAGTTTTAAAAATCCATAAATAAACAAATTTTGAGTTTTTAACTATCAAATTACAATTCAAAAACTAATCGGTTTGTTTGGTTTGAGTTTTCTGAATTAAGTATTTTGAAAATTGGATTTTTTATTTTTTATATTTTTTTTGTTGTTTTTAGTGAATATTTTAAAAATTTTAAGTATTTTTTTACTTTTTTAGATGCGTCTTACTTATGTGTCTAAAAAGTAAAATATTTGTAAAAAAATATTTAAAAAATTAATAAATATACAAAAATACGAAAAATATATTAATTTTTGTATTTTTTTTTTATATTTTTGGTATTTAGTAAATTTCTTGAAATTTTTTTTATAAAAATTATACTTTTTAAGTATATTTATGTTAGGTATGTGTAAAAATTAAAAAAAATATTTAAAATATTAAAAAAATCGTAAAAACAAAAAAAAAAATACAAAAAATAAGAATAAAAAATAACGGTTTTTTGGCATAAAAAAAATAAAAAATAAAAAAAACTGAATAAATAAATAAATAAATTTCTTCTCTCACTTCCAACTCATCCTATCATAGTCCTCAATTGCACATGTAGCGCAAAAAAATGCCTATCATAGGACTATGACAGGATTAATAGGACAACTTTTGACAGCAAATAAGGCAAATTTTGGAGCATTCTTTACCCTGGGAAAAACTGAGATCACATAAAAGGTTTGTTTAGCATATAATTATCGTCTATTATTTTAAAAATTATAAATATTTTATTATCAGAATTTATAATTTAATTGAGTTAAGAAAAAAAATAAAATTTTTAAATATTTTCCTATAAAAAAAATTATCAAAATTTTTAATTGAAATATATTATAGATATAATAGTAAAAAATGTTAATTGATTTAATAATTGATTAATAAAAGAAATTATTTGTTATGCAATTAGAATTTGTAAAAGGCGCCATATAATTTTTTGAACTATAGACAATAATAAAACGGATTATTTGTTATACGATTTCAAATTTTAAGATGAGAGATATAAATTTTTAGATTTATATGGAACAATTAATATTTTAAACAAATCTCAAAAAATATATTTATAATTTACCTTATTTATAATTACCAACTCTCTTTTTACCTTTTTACACTGAGAACAAAGCTAAAACAACTTCAATTAATCAACTAGATATTAACTCAAAACTCTCACAGCCTCTGCCAAACAGTTACATAGCAGCATCAAGGATGAGAATAACATTTCTGCTACAGAGCTGGAATGATAGAGCCATGCTAGAGTTACCAAAAAATTCTACCGAAAAATTGACCAAAAAATTCTACTAAAAAGTTGACCAAGCACTCATTTGCGTGTTTGATTAATTGTTTGATAAAACTTTTAGAATTTATAACATTTTTTAGAATGATAAGTAACAAAAGTCTCTATAGCCCAAAAGATTCACGATTTGTATTCTATTTATATTTTTTTGATAATTTGCAGTCTTGCACTAAACCCATTTCCATGATCAAATGAAGAAAACAAAAGCAATAGAGCAACAAATTACACATGTAGTAAACTTTATTATTTATATTATATTCTTAATATGTCCCCTCACGTGTGACCAAGGTTTTCTTAATAACTGGTCAAACACGTGCTAACATTATTTATATTATATTCTCAACATGCCCTCTCACGTGTGACCAAGTTTTCTTCACAGAGGGTCAAACACATGCAAACATTTTTTAATTATCGGGTAGGTGGTGAGATTTGAAGATAGGATTTATTGCCTACTCTGATACTATATTGAAGTGTTGAGTACTAATTATCTAAAAGCTCAAGCTCTTAGAGAGACGGACAACTTTATTATTTATATTATATTGTCAACAATTTTTAGAGGTAAAATTATAAATTTGTTTGACTTAGTGAGTTAATCTCAATCAACTCAGTAACAATTTTTTGTCAAAAACTATAACCAGGATTATTAATTGGATCAAATTTATACAAAATCAAAATTAAATATAAAAATCAAATCGAATAAAAGTGCAGGGACCAAAATAATATGAAAGGTATAATACTAATAATACTAATGGAATTTCTCCAATTATTCAGATAAATATTATTAAAAGAAAAAAAAACATGCATTTGCCTGCAGAAGGAAATGTTAAAGACCCATACAAAAGACACTCGACTGGAGGAACTCTTTAAGTAGTACTACAAAAAGAAACCATTATAATAAAAAATAAAAAATAAAAATAAAAATAAAAAGGCTTCAAAGGCCTTTTTTAACCAGTGCCACCAAGAACAGCCTTGAGCTTCTTGACCTGAGCATCATCAAGGAAAGTTACCTTCTCCACCAAGCAGAAGGCAAATTGTTGGCAAACAACGCAAAATCGGTGATTTGGAGACCCGGGCTTGGGCTACTGAAGCTAACAATCGCAAGAGCCGGTTTATTTCCAGAATTGAATTGAAAATGCAATAACCCTTGTGGGAAAACCATAACATCCCCTTTGTAAAGAGTTTTAAAATAAACAGTGTTGGCCGAAGAAGATATGAATCCGGCACAAATTGTTCCTTCCACCACAAAAAGGATTTCTGAACCTCCAGGGTGCGTGTGGATTGGCACAACTCCATCCACGGCTAGATCTAGACGTGCCATGGAAAGGCCAAGCCCATTCACACCCGGAAATTGAGCTGCAAATGCTGGTGTAACCTTAGCTTTGATAAGATTGTTAGTGTCACCAGCAATGCCTAAAGCTGAATAAACAAAATCATTAACCGTCACTTTAGCAGGTTTCTTGCAAGAGTAGCCTGCAGGTCCATCGGGTAATGAGAAGTCTGCCACACAGAAGTCTAGCACTGAACCATGAGAGTAGGAGAAGAGAAGCGAAGCGACGAAGAGGATTGGAAGATACATCTCCATCTCCAAGAGTAAGGGATGTTTTTTCTAAGAGTTGGTTGTGTTCAATATGGGGACATAATGTACCCATTTATATAGAATTTGATAGCATGGATATTTTTTTTTGGAGCATTCCTATTGGTTGTTAGAGATATGTGATTCTAAATGAATACGCTAAAACACGACAGATTATGGGCTGTGATGCATGTGAGCGTACGATCTTTTTTTCCAGACAACGATAAGAAGACTCTTTTTTGTTGGAAAATGCAGAAACATAGAGAGGAAGCATATTCTGCCTAGTAAAAAAGATAGTCATTTAATTAACAATTCATGCATTGATATATGGTTGATAATTAATGTACTACTTCGTCAATCAATTTTATCGTACGCCAAACAAAAAGTTTAGTGTGTTGGCTACTTGTTACGATGCTGTCATTGCTCAATTACGTCAACTATCCGGCATATGAATTTCATCTTATTCTATTCTGAACCATTGCTATTGTTTTCGATTGACAGTTGTATAAGTATTTACCATGTTCAAACAGTGTCATAGTTTTCATTTTTTTCATTCCCAATTACTTTTCATGTGTAGTCATAACTGTTCTACAAATTATGCAATTTTAATAAGATAAATAGATTCATGATTTATTAAATTAAATAATAGAACATCAAATAAATCCATATTTGATAAATTACATTTTAGAGCATGACACATGAAACATGATTAATAAAAATACATATTTAATCTGCATATTGAAAACATTGAATCAAACCAAATTCCATAAATAAAATTAAAATTTTATTTAATTTAATTATAAATTTTGAAAAAAATTTGCATTAAGTTTTAAAAATCCATAAATAAACAAATTTTGAGTTTTTAACTATCAAATTACAATTCAAAAACTAATCAGTTTGTTTGGTTTGAGTTTTCTGAATTAAGTGTTTTGACAATTGAATTTTTTGTTTTTCATATTTTTTTGTTGTTTTTAGTGAATATTTTAAAAATTTTAAGCATTTTTTTTCTTTTTTAGATGCGTCTTACTTATGTGTCTAAAAAGCAAAATATTTGCGAAAAAATATTTAAAATATTAATAAATATACAAAAATACGAAAAATATATTAATTTTTGTATTTTTTTTATATTTTTGGTATTTAGTGAATTTTTTGAAGATTTTTTTATAAAAATTATACTTTTTAAGTGTATTTATGTTAGGTATGTGTAAAAATTTTAAAAAAATATTTAAAATATTAAAAAAATCGTAAAAACAAAAATAAAACGGATTATAGATATAATAGTAAAAAATGTTAATTGATTTAATAATTGATTAATAAAAGAAATTATTTGTTATGCAATTAGAATTTGTAAAAGGCGCCATATAATTTTTTGAACTATAGACAATAATAAAACGGATTATTTGTTATACGATTTCAAATTTTAAGATGAGAGATATAAATTTTTAGATTTATATGGAACAATTAATATTTTAAACAAATCTCAAAAAATATATTTATAATTTACCTTATTTATAATTACCAACTCTCTTTTTACCTTTTTACACTGAGAACAAAGCTAAAACAACTTCAATTAATCAACTAGATATTAACTCAAAACTCTCAGTCTCTGCCAAACAGTTACATAGCAGCATCAAGGATGAGAATAACATTTCTACTATAGAGCTGGAATGATAATGCCATGCTAGAGTTACCAAAATATTCTACTGAAAAATTGACCAAAAAATTCTACTAAAAAGTTGACCAAGCACTCATTTGCGTGTTTGATTAATTGTTTGATAAAACTTTTAGAATTTATAACATTTTTTAGAATGATAAGTAACAAAAGTCTCTATAGCCCAAAAGATTCACGATTTGTATCCTATTTATATTTTTTTGATAATTTGCAGTCTTGCACTAAACCCATTTCCATGATCAAACGAAGAAAACAAAAGCAATAGAGCAACAAATTACACCTGTAGTAAACTTTATTATTTATATTATATTCTTAATATGTCCCCTCATGTGTGACCGAGGTTTTCTTCATAACAGGTCAAACACGTGCTAACATTATTTATATTATATTCTCAACATGCCCTCTCACGTGTGACCAAGCTTTTCGTGTGTAGTCATAAGTGTTCTACAAATTATGCAATTTTAATAAGATAAATAGTTTCATGATTTATTAAATTAAATAATAGAATATCAAATAAATTCATATTTGATAAATTACATTTTAGAGCATGACACATGAAACATGATTAATAGAAATACATATTTAATCTAAATATTGAAAACAATGAATCAAACCAAATTTTGTGTAATACCACCTTGCCGGCCATGAGTGGTTGTTGTCGGCCATCTGCCGACCAAGAGCGAGGCACTGCCGGCCATCAGTGAGCCATTGCCGGCTACTGGTGCTCTGAGTTACCACACTGCAATAGAGCACAAACAGAGAAAAATGAAGGGTTTTCCATGGGTTTATTTGTACTGTGCCCCTCCTTATCATCTCAAATCCTCAAAGGAGTGGCACTCTTCAATCCAAAACCACCAATCAAGCAAGTTCATTGCATGATGGCCAAAGATCCAAGGAGTGCAATTTCATTGTATGTAAAAACAAGACTCAAGACCATCACCTCATCATGTATGATCAAAGGCAATGGAGACAAAGGAGATTGGCTAATTTCATCACTTTGAGTATGAAATGCTCCAATCTTCCTTATGTTCAATATAACGTCTGATTGAACGCATGCAATGCAACACAACATGCTTAACTTACTCAAGTTTTACTTATCACTTTTGTTTACTCATTTTAAGTTACCAACTCATTCTTTAGTTGATTTAGTCCAAGGTGAGTGTCCTCTAATGAGAGAGGTGTCATCCAAGGGATGACTTAAGGTAAGAGAGAGATCATGCCTTTGGTTAGTAGAAACCCTCAAAAGAGGATTAAAACCATTAAGCACAAATCTCAATCTCAAGCTTAAACACAACCCTAAGGCTAACCAACCCTCAAAGAAAATGAAAAAATGATGAAATGAGAGAGGTTGCAGATATTATATGTGCTGAAATTGCATGCAAAATGACGCTACAACATGCAAGCAATTCATGCAAATCATGTTTAAAAGCCGAAAACACCAAACTAGTGAAGATCAATACACTATAGCATGCAATACAAAGCTCCAAAGGTACAAACACTTCAAAATAGTCCTAAAATATGTTTGAAGTAAGCTAAAAAAAAGCTAGAATAAGAGGCCAAAACATAGCACAAGCTAAACTATTAAGCACAACTGCACTACAAGCATACAAAACAAGCCTCAAGTGCTCCAAGCAGCCCAAAACAGAGCTGAAACATGCCAAAATAAATCCTAAAACATGCTTGAATTAAGCTAGGCTAAACTAGAAAATCATGTTAACATGTGAAGCAACCTAGGCATGGAAGCAAGACACAAGGAGGGGAGGCTAAGCCCTCCCATTTTGGACTTCAAAATATGATTTTTACCACTGAAAATCCTCTGAAATTCAGTGGTTAAAAAGGCCAAAAAGGTTGATTTAAAAAGTTTTGAAAGATGGCACAACAACTTAATAATCAAGCAACAAGAAAGGTGGACTACTTCTAACTCCAATCAAACCTCAAACCACCATTTTTAGACCACCAAAATAGATATTTTCAGAGATCAAAACTAGCCTCAAAACAGTATGTAAAGATGGCAAAATAAGAATTTAAATTAAGCTTAAAACACAAGTATTCTACCTCTTGAAGACAATATGCAATTTAGGCACCAAAATCAAGCCAAACCAAGCCAATATCCTGTTCTAAAGCTCAAAGAGGGCCTCAAGTAACCTCAACTCAATGGTGATCAAGTTTGATCAAGGGTTCACATGCAAGAGTGTAGAGAATTTAGGCTATAAGGCACAAAATATCAAGGGAGAGAGAAAGAATTCTAGAGAGAGAGAGAGAGATTTTTTTTGTTTTCAAAATTTTCTAACCCCTCCACATGCAAGAGAGGGCTTCTATATATAGAGAATGCAAAATCCCCTCATAAAGATCCAGCCACACACGTGTTGGAAGATGCTTCAATCTGTGCAAACAGCTGGCAAAAAATATCAGAAAATATCTACTGATACACTGGTGGCTGGCCGACCATTAGTAATGGCCGGCAGAGCACATCAATGGCTGACAGGCCATCAACAACAACATGTTGAAAGGACCTAAACATGGTCCAAAGATGAGACAGAATTGATGCAAGGTTTGGAAAACTCAAACCTGTAGCGTTCCGCCGCGAACTTTGAGCACTCGACCAGCAATCAAACTCATCATCGGATGTACCTGCAAGAACATCCAACTCATGAGGATGGTCAAAAATGGGGTGTCTACAAGCATAAAACACCAATGTAAAACTAAATTTGCAGATTCAGTACCATCTGAAGATTAAAATCAAAAAATCAATTTTAGATTTTTCCCGAGCTTGGTCTTCCTTAAGTTCGTAGATAATTTTATCTAGTTTTTAGAATATTTTTTAGAAATGGAATAACTTTTCTAGATTTTTAGTTATTTAAGAAACACTCCAGCGCTGTCCAGATTCGTCGACCGTTACGAAAATCAGATTTTCTTACAAACCGCTCACTTTTTCTCAATGAAACCAATTTTACTTGAAAGCTGAATCTTTAAGAATTTTTTTTTTTTTTACATAAAACCAAGGTCCAATATATTTTTCTACATTTTTCTATAATTTTCGAAAGTTGGCTGTAAAATAGGTTTTTCATGCATAATACTCAAAATAAGAAGATTTGTGAGAAAAGAGGCCAACTAAGAGAAAATTTCCACTTCTTTTGTGATGAAAACATACTAAATAATGCATCAATAAATAATGGGAGACATGGAAAGAAAAATATGGTTTTGTATCTATTAAGAGGAAATATGAGTTGAAGAAGGATCAAAGCCCAATTCATCAACTTTGAACACATGAACACATTAAAATACATCTGAAAATGTGATTTTAAATATTTAATAACATGTATTTGAAAAAGGAAATAGAAGAAGAGATGGTGATGTGGCTTACTTGAGGCTTGGTTGGTTTGCTAA